GAGGCGCGTGCGGAGGCCGGTGCAGATGTCAGGAGGCTCTGAGCAAAAGGCGTCTCCCAGCACGCAGGCTTGGAGGCGCAGAGCATTGGGCATCGCGTAGAGGCAGATGAGGAACAAACTGGGGAGGGGTTCGAAACCCAAGAGGGTAATCTGGAACGGCGCTTGGAACGTAGCACTGAATTATTGTGGAGTGATGTGTTTCTCCTCTTCCCACACTCTTCATTCCCCCGCTCACAAAATCACCTTGGCGCTTTCCTGCGTAGCGGTAGGAAGCGGTCCCCCACAGCGCAGCAAATATCCCTGCGGGAAAACACTGCAAGGACCTTCTGCGTCGCTGCGTCTCGCTCCACCTCTGGCACGAGGAATACACACTTCTCTGCAGCTTGTGCGCAGCAGAAGGGCTCTGTCCCCGGCCCCTTGGCGGTGCTGAAAGATGACAGCATCACGCTGCCGCCTGGAAGGGTTCCCGCCTAGGGGCAGAAGCTCTCGCTTAGAAACCTGCCTCCCTGCGCTGTTGTGGCTCTTGCCAAAACCTAGCGTGTGGCTTTGCTTGGCCGGCACCGAGTCTGCAGGGCTGGGCTGGTAAGCTGCAGAGCCCCCCAAAAGCCGCGGTGTTATCGGCCGTTAAAGTTATTAGAGGGATGGCATTGTGGGCAAGTGTGTGTGTCATGTTTGTATCATCGGATCAGATGTTCCCAGCTATCGTGATCGACAGGCGAGGAGAAATCCTCTCTGGAGAGAACGGGGGTATTGACAGATACCTGCTGTCTCTCTTTCGTGGTGAATTTACAATAATGCCTGGTTCCGTCTCGCAAGTCTGAGAGCTGCTCCGTGAAGCCCGCAGTGCCTGCGAGTCCGGAGCCGCTGCGTTTGCCGCCGCGGGGCTCTCGGGGACGATGCTTACAAAGCGTCCCTGTTCCCCGCCGGCGCATAGGCAGCGGTGGTCTGGTTCTTCCCGCGGCACAGCTCTGCCTCTGCTTGTCCGCTGCAGCACCGTGGTACCCAGCGACCGGCCTTCATGTGAGAGATGGCGAATGCCGAAGTGAGCGTCCCTGTGGGTGATGTGGTGGTCGTACCAAGTGAGGGAAACGAAGGGGAGAACCCGGAGGATACCAAAACCCAAGTGATCTTACAGCTCCAGCCGGTGCAGCAAGGGTGAGTGGTACACGTACTGCTGTGTCTGGGAGATGCCTGGCGGAGTGGGGGGGAGGCTGCATCTGGCAGCGTTGTGTGATGTGGGGACCGAGTGGTGCTGTGTTTTGCAGCAGGGTGAGGTTTTTGTCTGTTTTGATTTGCGCACGATAAAGGGAGAGAGAAAAATAAAACTGCCGGAAACCTCCCCAACGAGAACTTAAAATAGCTGTTGTGCGTCGCTGGCGTGGGGCTTCCGAGGACTGGGATCCTTCTGTGGAGATGTGTCCCCGCGATACCGTATCTGCATTTTGCAACGTACACAGCCACCCGCCAGCCAACGTGGCCGTGGATGCGGGGAAGCGGCTAGACAGGCGCTGGGCGGAAGCGGGCCAAGGTGTGCGGTCAGCGGTGCTGCCCCGGCCACGCGTTCCCCCGGGCTTCCTTTTGCTGCTCCCTCTCCGTCCTCAGGGTGGCTTTTTGCAATATTGCAGCTGTTTCACGTGGTGATCTGTGCCACGCACAGGGCGACAGCTTGTGATTGTGCATTCATATCTGCATATGCTTCTGTGCCTGCTTTTGTAGATCCTGATTGAAAACACAATGAAGCAGGGAGGTTAGAGGGAATTGTTTTGTGATGCTCTGAACTGGCAGCTGTTACGGAAGGTGGCTGCCACCAGGCATTTCATCTTATATCTGTATCAATCAGCATGAAAATATACTGACTCTAGTTTGATAACGTTTGCAGCATGGGGTTGCTATTAGTGTAATTGCCTCGGCCCTTTTGCATGTAGGCCTGACAATGACTCTTCCCTACGTGATCCCCCAGGGGAAGTAACCGATGCTGCAGAATGTCACACAGGGCTGGAAGGGAAATCCTGGGTCATTGAGCTCTGTTTCCTGTTGTTGTGGGTAACTGCTTCTATCAGAAATCAGAGGAAAAGGTACAGGGAAACGTAGTGCAGAGTGTTTTCAGTTGTACGGGCAATGCTGAGGGTGAGGTGATAGAACTGGAAACACCTCTGCATATTTCAGGTCTTGGGACTATTACCATATTTTGCACGTGCAAAAAAAAAAAAACCAACGTGTAATTGAAACTGTGCAAAAGAAAAGATTTGTGTCCCAAAGGGACAGGCAGGAAAGAAAGGAACAAAGTTTTTAACCCTGTGCTATGAATCTTAATTTTTCCGTGATTTATATAGTTTGCTTATCGATGGACACTTTTACAACAGGATTTACCAAGAGGGCTCTGAGGCCAGCGCCGCCGTAGTGGCTGTTGAAACGCACACCATACACAAACTAGAAGAAGGGATCGGTGAGTTCCTCCTTGGCATGGGCAGAATCCCCTCCTCTGTAGGGCCAGTTGCAGCTGAGCTGGTGTCTTTGGTTCGCTGGGCTTCCTTCTGGCTCTGCCCCTGCAGATGCTGTTTCCCAGGCTGTTGTCATGGATGTGGGTGCAGGGTCTGGGCATACTCTGGAATAAGAGTCTGCTGTTACTGCTTGGTCTCAAAGTCCTGGAACTGAGATCCTGGCTCTCGTGGAATGAATGGTAAGGGCTCCCATGGGGTCCAGGGGAGCCGAGACTTCACAGTAGTCATGGTGTGCAGACCCTAACAGGCAGGGACGATGGCTGTTAGGATGATGGTTGTGCCTGCACTGGCAGAAATATCAGACTGTGATTGTTGGTTCTTTCTCCGCTGACCGAACACCTTTATAGATCTGTGATAAACGTTCAAAGAAACCACGCAGGTTGGCCCTGTGCGCTCCCTGCCAGCCTGAGGAATATGTGGGAAAAGGCTCCTGTTGTTAGCTGTTATCACTAGATCCTAACTAGTGTTCTGCTTTCTGTGTGGGTGTAGGTCTTCTGGAAATATTAGCAAAGAACTCTGCGTGTGCAGAAAAGAGATTTAGTGAATAATAATAATAATAATGAGATGCCAGAGCAAAGTGTTGGTCTGTTTCACATTTTAAAGCAGGATTTTCCATCAAATAATGGTTGTTCTCATTGCCGCCCCTCCGCCCCTTACAGACATGTTGGATCGCTGATCCCGCGTTCTCCTAATAAATGAGCTTCATTTTGAGTGTTGCTATATTAAAAAGCAGGTGCCAGTTGCTGTTGGAGTTAGTAATTAGAGAAGTCTAAGAGAATTGATCTTGAATTAGGAATGGCCCTTATTTTGGTTTCCTGAGTCTAGGCCTCACAAACTGTGAGCTTTCAGCTCTTGCCTTGTGGGATTGAGCCTCCTGGGTGGAAAATTTCATTTTTACCTCTTCTTCCCTCAGACCCCAGCACCATTGAAACAAACGAGGAGATCGAGATTGCCTACCCCATTACGTGTGGGGAGAGCAAAGCCATCCTGCTTTGGAAAAAGTTCGTCTGTCCAGGAATCAATGTCAAGTGTGTAAAGGTAACAAAGTTTTAATAGTGGATTCCTTCCTTCTCTGCTCTCGAGCACTGGCACTTCACTTCCACAGGACCTTCTTACTTTTTGTGTTTCATTCGAGCCTTGTCTTGGAGCTGAAAGACTGCCTTTGCAGCATGCTGGACTGTTAGCACTAAAGTTGGTTTTAGCATGGGAAGAAGCAAGAGAAGAGTAGGATAAGGAGTGAAGCACTTTCACCCACCTTATATTTCTGTGCTATTCTTGATTACCTTTTAAAGCAGAGTCATATTTGGGGCCCAGTGAGAGGCTTGGAGCTGAAGGCAGGTAGGGGATGTGTACTGATATCTGCCAGAGCTTTTCTTCCTAGTCTCATTCCTTTGGTATTCTGATATTCCGCGCCTGAGGCTGTTACTTCCTCAGCAGGATGCATCAGGAAGAAAATTTTACTGTTATCTTTCTTCACTTGACAACGTGCTAATGTAATAGCTGACGCGCTGAGGCTGAGTCCCCCTGCGCCACTGTGGAGCGATCGGTCTATGGTTGACCCCTAACAGGAATAATTTCAGTTACTGGAGCAGGACAGAACAGATGCTCAAGTGAATAACTGTGTCAGCTAGATGTTGCTTGGCCATTTGATGTAATAGGAGTCTCCCATAATGATCTGAGAGATGACTGTACATATTCACAGAAGGAGCTAATTTGTTTGTGCTCTGTACAAAAGCCTTCAGGGCTGTTCCTAGCTAGATCAGTGTGGTTTGAATGCCAGTGAGTGGCAGGTTCTCCCTGCGAATATATCTATTGTGTTATTATGAGCAGTGCTGTATTGAGGCATTCAAAGTCTGTTCCTGATAGGGATTTGGGAAGAAGCTAGTCTTTCTGAGTAGAGATGGAGGCTCAGATGAGTTGAACTGAGTAGAGACAGAGGCTTAGATGAGTTGAACTGACTGTGTTGGATGTCCCAACACACTCTCCGCAAGTGATGTTTCCCTGTGTTTGCTGAGTTGTTGTTTATCTCGTTGGTAGTTCAACGACCAACTGATCAGCCCAAAGCATTTTGTTCACCTGGCTGGCAAGTCTACCCTAAAGGACTGGAAGAGAGCCATTCGCCTTGGAGGAATCATGCTGAGGTATTTGATTTGTTCACTGTTGCATCCAGCTTCAGAACTTCATCACCACAGCTGCAAGGTCCCGAGCAGGCATTTTATCTGCTTTGGAGTCCCCAGGAGATCTCTTGGAGGTTCACATTACCTGGGCAGCAGCCTCTAGGGGTGAGATCCAGGCCCCACAGTCCGAGGGGCAGGATTCTTCATCTCGTACAGAAGTGGCCTCACATGGGTGTTGTGGTACTTGATGGGGATGGAGCATGCCTGGGCCATAGCCGGAGCCAAGTGTATGGAGCTGGGGGATGGCATTTACTCACTATTTGTGAGAGGTGTTTTGTGTGCAGAGTGGAGCTGGGTTTGCTTTTCTCCCTCCTTCCCAAGGCCATAGTATTCCCACGTGGGATACTCCCTTTTGTCTCCAGGCTGAGATTTGAGCTGAGCCTGGTTCTCTCCCCACTCCCTGCACAGGAAGATGATGGACTCGGGGCAAATCGACTTCTACCAGCACGACAAAGTTTGCACCAACACCTGCCGAAGCACCAAGTTTGATCTCCTGATCAGCAGTGCCAGAGCACCAGTGCCAGGGCAGCAGAGCATGGTGCAGACTCCCACATCAGCTGACGGTAGGAAGCCAGTTAGCAATGTGACAAGTCCCCGGTGACACCCCCTTGCCTCCTTCCCTCCCCCCTTGGACTGACCAAATTGAGTTGCCCCTCATGCACTTTACACCTTCTCCCCAGGTGTAGCACAGGAGTCCCGCCGTTCAGGACACTTACTGCTCTGGTTTCTGGGAAGGTTGCTTTTCTCTAAGACCCTGGATGGATGAGATGGCAGAGTTGTCTATAGGTTAAGGAGAATCCCTCGAAAGGCACTGTGGCCACGTGAGAAAACCTTGCAGTGGCTAGACATTGGCTTATGTGTCCTAAATTTGATTCAGAAACTTAGGATTGAGTCAGATCTCTCCTGCTATTATAAGATAGCTTGGATTCTCACCCTGTCATTTCTTGAGAGATTAGGGTATTTCTGATGCATAGAGCTTTCTGGTGATGAGACAAGGGGAGGAGCGTTGCTGGGTGACTGGGCTGAGGCTTATTTTCTCCCTTTTTTATTCTGATCTTGTTCTGCTCCTTTTATGCCAAGACTCCAGTTTACTTTCTGGAGGGCACATGGTTTTCCCTCTAGAAGCCCCAGAGCCTTTCACAATCACCGTTCCAATGAGAAGCAGCAATATTTGCTTTTAGCTAATTTGGTTTAAAGAGGCCAGGCACAAACAATCTCATTGCAAGAGTGAAAAAGAGCCTGGGAAGGGTAGGGGAGGTGGAAAGCAAAGCAAGGATTCAGGGCTGGCACTCTGGGTGCTGCAGAGAGAGCTGACGTTGCCTTTCCTGCAGGGAGCATCACCCAGATTGCGCTGTCGGAGGAGAGCATGGAGGAGGGGATCGAGTGGAACTCGGCACTGACAGCTGCCGTCACCATGGCCACAGAGGAAGGCATGAAAAAGGACGTGGATGAGATCTCGGGTAAGCTCAGGCAGCTTGTTGGGGGGTTTCTCCCCCTCTTCTTGCCTGTTACGTTTTTGAGACTGAAATCCTGGGAATTAGAGGAGATGAGGCAATGACAGAGCTGTCCCCCAGCTCCTTGGCCATCCCAGCACTTCCCAGGCATGCAAGGCCCTGCCAAACAGAGCTCCTCAGTGCTGCAGGGAAAGTGGGACTTCAGCCCTAGCCTTGTGGCTGATGGATGATCTCTTTTGTCACTTGCCACTAGGTACAATGAGGTTTTTTTTTTTGTTCATTTTAGGGATGTAAATGTCTGCCAGCCTGAAGCTAGACTGAAACTGTCAGTGAGCAGCGTCATATTAGTACCTCCATGTTAGTACCGCTGTCAGCTCTCTTGGCTGTGTTTCTCCTGCTGCAGTGCCTTACTCTCCTAGGGAATCTGCTTAGGTAGTTTCCTCAAATGAAGATTATAAGCTCTGCATCCTGTGAAGATGAACAGAGGCAGTGAAGTGTTGCCTTGGAAGTCATGTGCTGTTTGAAAACCTGTTACTGATTTGCTTCCTGGATCCCTTTTGTTTCTGTTGTTGTTTTTTGCTTGTCATGTCTGCCCCGATGGCCAAATCAGAAGTTGCCTTTCAAAGTTACTCTTGCCTGACAGCTCTCTGCTCTTGGCATGGGTTTAAGGTAGCCTTGAGGGAAAATGCCAAATGCTTGTACATGTTGACTTCTTCCCCCTTCTTGTCTCTTCCTTTCCCTGTGCCAGAGGACACGCTGATGTTCTGGAAGGGAATAGCTGATGTGGGACTGATGGAAGAGGTCGTCTGCAACATCCAGAAGGAGATAGAAGAGGTGCTAAGAGGTGTTCAGCAAAGGCTGGGTCAGTCTCCCTTCCAAATGACAGGTGGGTTGAGAGCCAGAGCCTCTGTGGTGGGGGAAGGATGCTCAAAAGGGGAGCTACAGGCAAAAGAGTGACAAGGGTCCAGCCACACAATTTAGAGCTATTGAGTCAAGATGGTAAATGAGTTACCGAGTCACTGCTCATTAGCTGAGCTGTGGGAATTGAGTCTGGGTGTGGTCTCAGCCTGCCCAACCATGAAGTGCATTCACTTAAACCACTGTGAGGCAGAAAGACGCATGCCACCCTCGAACAAAGTGATGGTGGCACTGTGCTGAGACCATCGGTGGCAGCACGCTGTGACCATGAGGCAACTGTCCTCAGCTCCCAGTGCTTGTTGAAGCCTGCCCAGATTCGATTCTTGGACCGCAGTTGTTCAAACACTTCTCTCTGCAGCAGTGCTGACTTAAACAGGTCCTGCCCCCTTGCTTCTCGTTCTGTCCTCACTTGTGCCAGAAAACCTGTTTTTGGGGTTGAACCAGAAGGGGAGCTGATCCGGGTTAAAAATAACTCCCCTCCTCTTTTTAGGGTTATTTTTAACTTGGATCAGTTCCCTAATCCAGTTCAGCACAGGGCCCTGTGAGCACAGGGTTGCAGAGCAGCTCAGGTTAGTGCTGTTGCTGCGAGAACACCCATGTAGCCACAAACTTCATTCCACCCATGACATTTTTCTTCTAATTCAGCTTTGGGCTGGTGGATCTTTGCGTCTGGTAGGTGGCAGCTTTTGGAAGCTGTGAGTGATTGAAGTCAGTGGATTATAATAGAAATTTTATACAGCCTTCAGCGGAGCTGGCATGTTAATGACACTGTCAGCAGTATGGGGTGACGATTTGTAGGTGGAGATCTAGTTGGTATCTCTGTAATTGCAAATTATGCTTTCATTTGCAGCAGTTCTGAGCTGCTCGGGTGACACATCTCTGTTTCAGTTTTTATCATATGAATGGGATTATTTAGTCCTTGGATGTCAGAAGGATGAGGGAGCTGGGCCTGCCCTTGTCAGCTAGCCCTTGTGGAAGAACAGAGGTGGTTTTAGAGAAAGCAATGGAAGATTTTTTCATGTGATAACAACATCTGCTGAGTGTCTGACAGAGACTCTTGGCCACCTGTGCAACTAAGCCCTCATCCACAGGGACTTCCCTTGCAGATGCCGCAGTCTTGAATAATGTTGCTCACACATTTGGCCTAATGGACACAGTCAAGAAGGTATTGGACAACAGGAAAAACCAGACAGAGCAAGGAGAAGAGCAGTTTCTTTACACTCTGGCAGGTACAGTCAATGCCTAGTAAGGCTTCTAATCCTGTTGCTGCTCTTGGGAATTGATGTGACTTTCCCTCAACAGATGCAAAATTGCTCCCTTGTTTTACAGCTGCCTCCTAATCCCCAGTGGACCATATTTGGGTTCTTGTTCAATACGCACTGCTCCAAAACAATCCTGTGCCTAGCAGTGAGCAGTTGCTTGGCGCATTAAACCAGCCCAAAGTGATGGCTGTGCCCTTTGCTGAAGCTGAGGTGCTGGCTGTGCTAGTCTGATTCAGTCAGCGTTAGGAAATAGGTGCTAGTAGCTAAGAACTGAGAAGCGGTCATCTGAGCTGCAGGCAGCGCGCAGTGCTGTGCCCAAACTAATAAGCTTCTCTGTGGGGCTGAGTTATCTCTTATCTTGGCGTGAAGCTATTCAGTGTCTGGTGTGGCTTGCCCTGAGATGAAGCCAATAAGCCTAAAAGGTTTCTTCGCAACTGTTTGGTGGATGCCTCTCCCTCGCTGCATCTTGTAGGACCTGTTCTTATCTGAGATGTCCTAGTCCCCTACTGCCCTGGATAAATGAGATGTTACTGTGCTACTTTTGACTTCCAGCGTTCACACAGACAAAGGTGGAGGGAGGAGATGTTTGTGTTGACCCAGGCAGTCCTGCTCCCTGTCCCAGGTATGGATGCTGGGCTCCTGCGAAAAGGATCCAGCCAAGCTCAGGCAGCAGTTTGCACTGCCCAGAGGGGCTTGTCCCCTCTCCCTCATAAATGGGTCTAGCCTGGGGAGCAGAAGTGCCCACCTCAGCAGTGAGAAGATAATGGAAGTAGCTAACAGCACTGGAACAGAGGGGAAAAGGGCACGGCTGGAACTTTGCTGCCTGTTCCTGATGCAGGCTCTGACAGTTGGCCAAAGCAGGCTGAGTGGGCACAGAACATTTAGCAGGTCAGTGTAAGTGAGCGTCGCAAGCCGGAGGGCAGGAGAGTCTGGCCTTTCCCTTCAGAGCCATTTGATCTTGAGTGGATGGGGGGAAATGCTAGACTGGGCAGTTAAGAAACCTCCCTTCGCACAACGAGGGATGTAACGGCCATTCGTGGAGCCCTCGAGTCCTCTGAGTTCCCAGAGCGGTGTTTGCCATAGCCCAACACATTGCTTAGCTGTTCTCTTTGCAGACCTGGAGCGCCAGCTGGAGGAGCAGAAGAAACTCGCCAAGGACCAGAAGGCGAAGTCGCAGACCATCCAGAATGTGGTTCTGATGCCCGTCAGTGCTCCCAAGCCCCCCAAGAGACCCCGCCTGCAGCGCCCTGCTTCCGCCACTGTCCTCAGTCCCTCCACCCCCATCCAACAGCCTCAGTTCACGGTCATCTCGCCCATTGCTATTGCACCCGTTGGACAGCAGTTCTCAGTGGGCAATATCCCGGTGGCAACCATTAGCCAAGGCTCCAGCCCAGTGACTGTTCATACCTTGCCAACTGGCTCCCAGCTCTTCCGATATGCCACCGTGGTGTCCTCCTCCAAGACCAGCTCCTCCGACACGGTGACCCTCCACCCGTCCTCCAGCCTGGCATTGCTGAGCTCGGCAGCGATGCAGGACAGCGGCGCCCTGGCGAATGTGGCAGCTGTGGTGAACCCCGTGGAACTGGTGGCCATGGAGTCCGGCCTCACCTCCACCATCCAAGCCGTGGAGGGCACCTCGGACGACGGACAGACCATCATAGAGATCGACCCAGCGCCAGATCCTGAGGCAGATACAGACGATTCGGAGGGCAAAGCTGTGATCCTGGAGACGGAGCTGAGGACTGAGGAGAAAGTGGTGGGAGATGTGGACGACCATCAGCACCAGGTCCATAACGTGGAGATTGTGGTCTTGGAGGACTAGCAGGGAAGGCGAGCATCAGTTTGGGGAAGAGTTGGGGATTTGTCTTATTTTGGGGTTTTTTTGTTAAACGTTTTTTTCCAGCCACCCCATTTGTTTCCATGGATATTTTCATTGTACAGTATATAAAATATATATATATAAAAAATATATATAAAAAAATTTTTTTAACAAAAAAGGTGGAGAAACACGTGAGACCTGGAAAAGGCTCCGTCTCCGTGGAGCACTGAACAATACCACCTGTTTGTAGGGTCAAGAAGAGACTGGATCTCTGCTGAACAACCCACAGCAGGGAGGAACTGGGCAAGGGCTCCCAACGCTGAGAGCGCACGGTGGCACAGGCCACATGCATGGTGCTTCTGACCCAGGCCTGCCCACGGCTGGGACTATTTTATTTCAGAGAGACAATAACCAGTGACTGGAGCATTGACGTGATTGTGGGAAGGGGGTGATGGCTTTGGGGTGGAACAGGTACCTCATTTGTATTTTTATTTTCCTCCAGGGAAGGAATTTCTGTTGGACTCTTCACTGTCACCTCAGCTGAGATTTTTTTTTTTTAATTATTTTTGCTTTGGGGAAGAAAACAGTAACCCTGACTTTACTGTCCGTGTTTTCCCCCTCGTTCACACAAGTTGTTTTTATATCGATTTTTTTTGTATTTGTTTGTTCCCTTCCCTTGTCCAGATTTGCCACATGCAAAGTTCTGGACTTGCTCTTGCTGGTCTTGGGTTCCCAAATCCAAATCCTGCCTCTTCCCATGGCACCTTTCCTCCTTCCCTTTCCCCACCTGGCCAGGCTCGGTGCTACAGACGTTGTTTGGAGACTCCGAGATCACTTCAGCCTTGTACATAAAGGCCAAAAAAAATCAACTCAAGCTGAAAACCACAGCCTCCCTCTTCGCTGTTCAGCGTAGCGCTGCAGGGACCTTCGGGATGTACAAAGCATGTTGTGCTGTTGCTTTTCGGGAGAGCTGGACTCCGGATCGGGGCGCCTTCTGTTTACACTGTGTGCTGGAGCTGCTCCGTGCTTGTCGCTACTCGTTTGGTGGTTTTATTTTTGTATTTTTTCTTCTTTCTTCCTTTAATCTCTTTGCAGGATTAGAACCGGCACGTTGCTGAAATAACGTGGCTGCCCCTCCGTTCTCCGCCTTCCCTCTCTCTTCGTTGGCGGGTCCCTTTGAGCTTCGCCGCGGCGGGAAGAAGGAAGGGGGAGAATCGCTGGGTGCTGTCTGAGCTGCGGAGGTTTGGGAGGGCTGGGAGGGGGGAAGCTGCTTGGCTGGAAATATTAAGCAAAACAACAGCAAAGGAAAGGGACCTGGGGAGGGTGGGTGGGGAGGGAGAAGGAAGATGTGTTTGGCTATTTTTTGCATTAAAAGGAAAAAACCAAACGATGCTTGAGTGGTTTATTCGTCGGTAGGTCAAAGGCAGCTCCATGATCTTAAAAGCAGCGCGGGACGACCCGGCCTCCCTTTCCGAGGCCCCTGTACCTGCTGCCGCCGCGGGAGGAGCGCTGCCACCCGCACCCCGCACTTCGGCTCGGGAGGGAAGTGTTTCACCTGCTTTTTAGTGGCGGATTGCAGACACAGAGCTGCACCGGGCCTGATCCATCCCTGAGCTGCCTCAGGTTGCGTTGGGAGCTGGTAGCAGTTTATACCCACTGGGGACAGGGAGGAGCGTGTGTGCGAGGCAGGGGGAAGCGGGCCCTGTTCAAGGCGCCTGCGGACAGGCAGAAGTGGAAGCCGGATGGTATGAATTGTGGGTCAGGGCTGTTGTCCCCAGGGGCTGCTCTTCTCCCTCTTTTTCCCTTGGTGTCCGGGAGCCTTCGCCCGATTTCCTCTCCTGCTTGCCCTGCGCAGGCAGGTCCCTTGGTCAGGAGGGGGACAGAGGTCCGTTCCGGAAACCGCCCCAGATCGGGGCTCGCGGCACATGCCGACTGCTCCTTTCCCAGGTTTGCTCCGCCTGGGAC